TACACTTGCTGCGAAGACTCTTCAGATTTCAGATGTCCAGAGGCACCTCGCTAGCGACTCATGTGAATAACTATACTAAGTTATTGTCGGACTTGGCGAATGTTGATGAGAAGATATCGGATGAGTACAAGGCGATCATTTTGTTAGACTCCTTACCGGATGAGGAGTATGATACCTTCATGCTCTCTTTGTTGAACGGGAGATCTTCTATCAGCTATAGTGAAGTGACTAATGCATTAACCAATTATGATTTGAGGAGGAAGGACAATGAGACTTCCCGTGCTAGCACTTCAGGCGAGGCCTTGTCGACGAGAGGTAGAAGCACATATCCGAAAGGTGGTAATAGAGGGAGGTCAAAGTCAAGAAGCCGTCACCAATTAGCAAAGAACCAATGTGCATTCTGCAAGGAACAGAGACATTAGAAGAGAGACTGCCCGAAGCTCAAGGAGAAAGAGAATGGTAAGAAAAAGGGCCCAAATGCCAATGAGGTAAATATTGCGAAAGGCGATGATTCCGATGATTCGTGCTTTTCTCTACTGATTACTCCAGAGGTGAACCATGTGGATGCATCAGATTGGATGCTTGATTCCGACGCTACTTATCATGTGACCCCTAGACGAGACTAGTTTGCATCTTTTGAGAAAGTTGACGGGGGTGTTGTTGTCATGGGAAATGATCAATCCTGTGGTGATTGTAGGATAGGTACCGTGCAGATTAGGATGCACGATGGAGTAGTCCGTGAGTTGAAGGAGGTGAGATTTGTTCCTCAACTAAAGAAAAATCTTATCTCAGTTGGATCTTTGGAGGCGAAGGGATTCAATGTGACTTACGAAAACGCTGTAGCGAAGGTTACTAAGGGATCATTGGTGGTGATGAAGGGAGTCCGCAATCAGAATTTGTATTATCTGAGGGAAAGCACCGAGAATGGCCAGGTTGCTTCGGCTATTTCAGAAGCGGACATGAACAGACTTTGGCACTATAGGTTGGGGCACACAGGTAAAAGTTACTACAGGTATTGTACAAGCAGGGGCTATTGAAGGGAGCCAAGAGTGGGAAGATTGAGTTCTATGAGCACTGTGTTCTTGGCAAGAAGACGAAGGTGAAGTTCGGGACTGCCATTCATCAGACGAAGGGCATCCTGGACTACGTGCACACAGACGTTTGGGGTCCCACCAAGACTGCATCACTTGGTGGTCGATATTGGTTCGTCACGTTTGTTGATGACTATTCTAGGCGTTGTTGGGTGTACAACATGAAACATAAGAATGAAGTCCTAGATTTGTTTGTGGAATAGAAGAAGAGCTAGATTGGAACTGCAGACTGGAAGAAAGATCAAGACGTTGCGATCCGACAACGACGGTGAATATACTTCAGACCCCTTTCTGTAGCTATGTCGAGACGAGGGTATAGAGAGACACTTCACGGTTAGTCATACACCGTAGTAAAATGGGGTGACAGAGAGGTTGAATCGGTCTTTACTAGAGAAGATCCGATGCTTATTATCACAGAATGGTTTGGAGAAGATCTTTTGGGCTGATGCACTTACATATGCGAGCCACCTCATTAATAAGCTGCCTTCATCTGCAATTGAGGGAAAGACCCCTATGGAGATGTGGTCGGGAGAGCCAATAAGAGATTATGACCAGCTCAAGGTATTCGGGTGCCCTGTATTTTATCATGTGAGAACTGATAAGTTGGAACCTCGAGCTAGGAAGGCCATATTTATAGGATTCAAACGTGGTGTCAAAGGATACAAGCTATGGGATCCAGTTGATAAGAAGATTATGCTGAGTAGGGACGCCACGTTTGATGAGGCTTCTATCTTGAAGCTTTCCAGCTCTCATCAGGTGGAGAGCAACCCGACGGAGGAGATATCGCAGGTGGTGGAGATCGATGCAGCTCCACATTATCCAGATGGTATAGTATCCATTAGAGTACCGACTGAGGTGACGCCAGGCGAGCACGACGATGACACGGGAGATACGAGTACTGATGTGTAGGATCAGGGACCGACGGCTCAGGTTCAGGATTCGATTACGGTTCAGAGACAGAGGAGAAACATATAGATGCCAACACGGTATGCCGACACAGTTGCGTATGCACTTTCGGTGGAGAGTATCGATGAGTTGGTGCCTACTACATTCAGAGAGGCCGAGCAAAGTTCGGAGGCTGATTCGTGGCAGGTGGCTATGCAGGAGAAGATGAAATCTCTTCATAAGAACGATACATGGGAGCTTGTTGAGCTTCCAAAGGGACAGAAGGTAATTAGTTGCAAGTGGGTATACATGAAGAAGGAGGGCATTGAGAGCACTCCATTGAGATTCAAAGCTAGGTTAGTTGCGAAAGGCTATGCACAGGAGGAAGGTATTGACTATAATAAGGTTTTCTCTCCGGTGGTGAAGCATTCTTCGATTCGGATTTTGCTAGCTTTAGTGGCACAATATGGTTTAAAGTTAGATCAGTATGCTTTGAAGTTAGATCAGTTGGATGTGAAGACGGTATTTCACGGTTTGAAGCAGTCTCCTCGACAGTGGTATAGGCAATTTGATGATTTTATGCTTGGTCATTCGTACACTCGGAGCCAGTTTGATCCTTACGTGTATTTTCGCAAGTTGAGAGGAGGTGCGTATATTTATTTGTTGCTTTAGGTTGATGACATGTTAGTTGCCTCTACTTCCAGGCCGGCTATAAATGAGTTGAAAGTTCAGATTTTAAATGAGTTTGAGATGAAAGACTTGGGCGAGGCGAAGCGCATTCTAGGGATGGAGATCGGCAGAGATAAGAAGAATGGCAGAATTTGTTTGACACAGGTAGCTTATTTGAAAAAGGTTCTACAGCGATTCCATATTAGCATGGATGCGAAGCCACTTGGTATACATTTGGGAGCCCATTTGAAGCTTTCAGCTGGTCTTTCACCAAAGTCAGTTGAAGATCGAGAGTTGATATTGAAGACTCTATATGCGAACACGGTTGGGAGCTTGATGTATGTAATGGTATGTACGAGGCCGGATTTGTCACAGGCGGTGAGCATGGTTTCGAGATACATACATGATCCAGGAGTGGGTCATTGGGACGCCGTGAGATGGATTTTAAGGTACATTCGAGGTACGCTTAATGTTGGTTTGGTTTATGAGCGGGACACTACAGGTGGGCAGTTGTGCATTGGCTATGTTGATTCGGATTATGCCGGGGATTTGAATAAGCGACGGTCCACGACGGGGTATGTGTTTACTTTGACCGGTGTGTCGGTGTGTTGGAGATGCATCTTACAGTCAACCGTGGCTTTGTCTACGACGGAGGCAGAGTATATGACAGTTACAGAGGCTGTGAAAGAGGCTATTTGGCTTCGAGGACTTTTGGAGGAACTTGATATATCATAGAGGTCCGTCACTATTCATTGTGATAGCATGAGTGCTATCTATTTGGCGAAGAATCAATTTTTTCATGCACAGACGAAGCACATTGACGTTCGTTATCACTTTGTTCGAGATATTCTTGAAGATGGCGATGTGGAAATTGTGAAAGTCCACACGAAGGATAATCCGGCGGATATGCTCACTGAGATGGTTCCGAGCAACAAGTTTGATTATTATCGAAACTTGTTGCACATTCGTGATTGTTGAGGCCGTTGGCGGCCATTTGGGTGAACTACGTTCGGCTTGATTCCTTGGGCAAGAGGATACGTAGGTAGCCTTTCAGATGCAGCCGGTTTGGATTAGTTGATTTTGATGGGGGTGAGATTGTTTGGACTCTCGTTTTGGTTCCCAACTTGTTGTGGTTTGAGTTCGTTGTCGTGAATTGGAACACAACAAGTGGGACATTTGGATGCTTTGGTGTCGGCTCAGTTTTGAAAGAAACTTCACCGAGGTGGATAATTGTGAATGTGGGGGCCACATGAACACGTGAACAGCTGCATGTGAGTTGAAGTCGGGCGCTGAAGTGTCCATGTGCGGTCCAAATACCTAAGCTCTTTTATAAATACCTGATGCCATGTTTTCTAGGGTTTTGGGCACAGAACTTTTGTGGTGGCTGCAAAGCAAAAGGAGGCTTGGTTGCTGCAACGTGCAAGGAGTTTATTTTTTTTTGCTGTGAGGTGTTTTTGGCAGAGAAGTTTTTTTGGGCGGTTGCTGTCCTTTTGAGAAAAACGCAGCCGCTGTTTGTGACAGAGGAGTTCTTTTGAGTATCCGTTTGAGGGTTTTATTTGTGAGGGTTTAATTTGTGTGATTGTAAACCCTAGTTGTATTCTCTCCCTCTAGTAGTAGATCTCCCCCTCCTTGCCCAGTGAACGTAGACTATTTGCCGAACCACGTAAAATTGATTGTCTTGCTATTTGTGTGATTTGTAATAGCTTTTAGGTTCCCTCGACAGGTCAGTCCTAGAACTGATGAGAGGAAGAGCTGATATCTCACTTGGTTGAGATATTTTGCTTAAGGTTCTTGTTTCCTTTGTGAAATAAGAATTCCTATTGCGACCTGACTCTCTTGTTGTGCTGCCGAAGTGCTGCCGAAGTGCTGCCGAAATTTCCACTGCGCGCAACAATAGGATCATCATAAGAAAGAGCTTGTCCCTGACCGCCTGCTCTTATACCAATTGTTGAGTTGATAGAGGCTCTGATACCACTTATCGAATTGAGAAGGATGGTGGACACTAAAAAATATTTTATTATTATTTCTCTAGTAGTACAACACTTAGTACTCTCTCTAATACAAACACTCTATACTCTAAATTGCTACACTTTTTTACGGCACACTACTCTTTCTCTTATTCCCTCTACCTCTCTTTATTTCTTTCACTCCCTCTTTATTCTTGCTCTTTGGCTTGTTCTTTGGCTTGTTGCTATTGGGATGAAATGATTATAACAACCTACCATAGCTTATATCTCCTAAACCGGATGGTGAACGCTGTAGGGAGTTGGTAGAAATTATTTGGTGGTAGGACTACGTGAGATTGGTGACATAATTTTGCTGATTTTAACAGTTAATGACAATCAGCATTACAAATTCAATTCAAAGTGGCTTCCGCAGCTAGAAAATCTGAAATAGTCAACAAATAAATTAAAACAATAACACTGGTTCGTGCAATTGTAAGATCAACCACCCTAAAAGATAGATATAATCTTTATCATAGAACTGCTTACAAATTATTGACAAAACAAAAAAGAAAAAGCAGAAAGGAAAAAGAAAAAGAAAAAGAGACGAGAAAGATGTTTCTTCATTCTCTAAACCATATCACTTATGAGACGGACATGCGTATTGCAGTGCTTCTCAATGAACATCCTCGACGCCCCTTCAACCGTCTTCCGCCATGTCTGTAAGGGGAAAAAACAAGTGGAGTAGCACAATTAAGAAATAAACAAGACATACACTTTGTTGGAGTACAAAACTATAAATTCTTAATTCTCGTCACAACTTTGGAGTTTTGGTGTAGAGACAGCTCAAGAGCCTTTGACATATTATCAAAGCATCTCACCTTTAAATCTCACTAGCCACAAATTGCTACATATTTATAAAGAAAAGTGTCCACTCTATGAGTAGAAGCGCCCTGTGCTATTAAAGATTTGATACTAAAGATTTATCACCAGAGGCAGATCCATGCGGTGTTGTAGGGTGGTACCTGCACACCACAATTTCTTATGTTTATCTCTTAGACCTTGTGAAAATTTAAAATCTGCCTTCCTCAAATTAATAATTTGCAGTCAAGCCCTCAGAATTCAATTGCCCATTTAGATATAACATATTTGAAACTTAAATTAAGTCCAAACACAAAAAGCCCAAACGCAAAAAAAAAATAATCTAATAGCTCAAACAAACACTAAATTGAAGCATCCCCCTTAAATCTTAACGGTTTTTCTATAGAGTGCCCAAGGGCACTCTATAAGGGAGGAGAGAGATATAGAGAAATGAATAGTTCATGGGCCTCCCTGATTTGCATTAATTTCTGTACATAATTCATTTATCTCTATCTCTCTCCTCTCTTATAGAGTGCCCATGGGCACTCTATAGAAAAACCGAAATCTTAATAGCCATAAATTAGAGGAGATTTAATGAGAAAAGAAGACCATTTATGAAACTAGTTTTCAGAGTTTTGGTGTAGTGAAAGTGTATGTGGCATTAAAGTTTTATAACCAGAGACGGATCCATGGTGTCTTGTAGGGGCAGCTGCACTCTAAATTTCTTATATTTTTCTTGTAAAATTGATCTTTGTCCCTCAAATTAAATTTATTGCACTCAAGCCTCCTACACCAAACAAACCCAAAACCCTAGGAGTTGTACCCAGTAGCGTCACTTCTACTTCCTCCCGTTGTCGTAATGGACTGCACTATAAATTTACAAATTTATATTTTTATTTTAAGGTAAATAGATAAACTGTCGCCTGCCCCAAAGAATTCTCTGAGGGGCTGTTTGGATTGATTTTTTGGATAGGTAAAAGAGGGGAAAGCTGCCAAAAATGTCAGCTTTTTGGCAGCTTTCCCCCAAAATCACCTCTATAAAAGGTGATTTTGGGAGAAAGTTGCCAAAAAGCTGCCATTTTTGACAGCTTTCTCTCCTTTTACCTATCTAAAAAATCAATCCAAACAGCCCCCGAGTCCGTCACTGTTTATTACTTTCCAAAGATGTTCAAAGATGAGGTATGAATGAAAACCCATCGCTTTCCCACTGACCCTGTTTGATTCTGTTTTAATTTGCCTTTTGCAATTAATAATTTAGACCCACTAATTTACTTGTTGATGGATCTTGTTAACAAGCATATGATTTGGGGGAAATCATGTACATGAAGAAGCCTTCATGATGTCGACATGTCTAATATGGTAATTGTGAGGAAAAAATACATAGAGAAAGCTATGGTTCTATATTGTTTTCTTTGATTCAATATAATATCAACACTAATTTTTGAATGTTAGCATTATAATTGACTCTCTGCACTATTTTTATGTACCGCTTGCACTGATTTAAAATTGAGAGTGAGATAAGTATGACATCCTCCTTTCTTCCTACACGATTCATTACACGTGTTTTTTCCTTGACAATGCGCTCACTCTTTAGCAAAACCAGAATATATACAGCAAAGCGACGGCGAGGAGATTTATTTGTTTCACATATGGCCAGTTTGGATGGGGGTAGAGAAGCGAAGGGGAAGTGAAATTTTAGTTTACTTTTAGTTTGGATGGGGGTAGAGAAGCGAAGGGGAAGGGAAATTTTAGTTTACTTTTATTTGAGAGTTCCATTTAGAAGGGTAGAGGAGGTGAATGAGAGGGGAAATTGAACTAAAATCTTACCCCCCAAATTGGAGGTAAAGAAGGCGAAGAGGAGGAAAGAAAAAAATTTCTCTTCATTCTCTTCCCTTAGTCATCTCCCAAACACACCAATAAGATACTAATAAAGGTGAAGCCGAAGAGATAAGGAAATGTTATGTAGAGGTCAGACGTAGTGAATCACATTAAAAACAGCTAATTAGTTTCAAAGAAAAAGAAAAGAAGATAAAAATGCTATATACATAACTAAATTAAGTACTTGCAGGAGAGAACATATTAAGCTAGGATCATCTATGTTGATGAAGACTGTCATTTAGACTTATATAAAACACACAGTCAAAGGGAAAATATGTAATGATCCGAAAACAGCACTTCACTCGAACTTTGTCCTCTTAACTTTTCCTTAATGAGTGCCCCCCCCCCCCCCCCCCCCCTGGTCAGTTGGAAGTAGGCACAATCATCGAAGTCTTTAGTAGACAGTTCGTCCGAAGTTGCAGAATTTGATTCACGGTATTTTGTGAAGAATGCAATTAGACCGTGAGGGGCAAAACAAATAAATAAATAAAAGATCAAAGCACCGACCTTCTCCAAGCGCCGCCAGCAGCGCCGCGGTCCCCGCTCCGCCTCCCGATCCCCGTCCTCGCTCAACAGCCGACCCCGACTGCCTCCTCGATGACGTCGGCAGGCAGCGGCGGGAGCAAAAGCCTTGTTCCGTCGCCAACGCCCACCGCCCCTCCTCCTCTTGGTCGCGGCAGGCGGCATCCACGCCGGAGGTGACCACGTCCCTCGCCCGAGCCCCGACGCCACCCTGTTCGACCTCTTCCTCCTCATCGCCGTCGGAGCCTTGCTTGCGCTGCATTGCGGCTCGATCGGTCGGAGGATTCGAGTTCCGCGAATTTGGAGAGGAGAGGTCCGAGAGGACTTGGGCACGTGCTGTACTGTTGCTCATGAGAGAGACAAAGTGAAGGTTTTAGAGAGAGAGAGAGAGAGAGAGAGATTGAAATGTGATGGAGATGGGACTGTTGAGGATTTTGTAGGGGGGGGAGAGATTTTTTTTGGGGGGGGAGGTGACCGTTACGGAGAACGGATGAGGAATGAATGATGACGATTCTGGTTGCAAGTGGCGGGGAATATAGCCGTTGGGCGGGGGGCCCAGGGTTTGGGTCCGGCGTGAGCTGTGGTGGTCGGTGTCGGGTCGGGTCTTGGATTTTCGGGGCTGTTTGGTTGTATGTTTTTACCATGTAAAAGGATGAAAAATATAAAAAAAGTTGGTCCCAATATCAGTTTTCATCACTTTAAATTGTTTGTTTGTAGTTGTGAAAAAAGTGTAAAGTGATTTCATATGCTGATGTGGCTTGTAAAATGATTTTATAAAAAAAGACATGATTTTAGGTGAAAACTGACATTAAAGTCAGGAAAAAATAAAAAATAATAATTTCAACCAATATGTTCATTTGAGTAGGGACCACTTTTTACACTTTCCAAACAAACAATTAAAGTTACATTTGTAAACCAAATGAGCAATTTATGATTCCAATAGAATAAAAAACAAACAAAGAAAAGAATAAAAGTAAAATTGATATGGTGGACAACAACTTTACAAGTTATGTCATAAATACGCAACATTACCAACAACAACCAAACATCCCCTTAGGGCTATTTGGAATGATTTTTTAGATAGGTAAAATGGGGGAAAGCTGTCAAAAATGTCAGCTTCTTGACAGCTTTCCCCCAAAATCACCTTTTACAAAAGTATAAAAGTAAAATTGAAGAGGTGATTTTGGGGGAAAGCTGTCAAAAAGCTGATATTTTTGGCAGCTTTCCCCTCTTTTACCTATCCAAAAAATCAATCCAAACAGCCCCTTAGACTTCGTTTGTTTTGTTGTTTTTGCAAGCTGAAAGTCTGCAACAGCCTGCAAAGGTTCTGATTTGTCAGAACTTTTGCAGGGATTCTTGTAAAATTACCTCAATTTGGGGCGATTTTGCAAGAATCCCTGCAAAAGTTTTGACTTTGTCAGAACTTTTGCAACTTTCAGCTTGTAAAAATTGCAAAACAAACGGGGCCTTACTATTTTAGCGCGGGTTTTGGGGGGTTCGAAGGAGAAAACGAGGAAATTGTCATTTTTTGGGAATTGTGGATAGATTCACGCGGGAGGGGATAATGATGAGGGTGTTAGGCGCTAAGGGTTGACCAGCTTGGTGAGAATCGTGAGATGAAATTTGGTAAAAGTCGTAGGATTTTTCTTTTCTTTTTGGATATTAGTCCCCCGAAGTCTTTCGTATACTGAAATCAGCCACCTGTATTTTTGAAATTAGTCATTTTATTGTATCTATCGTCCAAACTGTTAATTATGGTTGGGTTAGTGGCTAACCGGGGATGGATAGTTATCAAATTGAGGCTATGAATCCGACTAACATTATTGAAGAGATTTTCTAATTTAAGGAGTAAGCATGGACTAATACGTGAGCTAAAGGACAAAGTTTTTAATATATTATTATTATTATTTTATTATTATTATGTTTGGCCTGCATGTGCTTAAAAATTAATCAACAAGATGTAAGTTTAAGTTAATAAAAGGACAAATTTTCAAAACAAACTCTTGTTAAAAATTATTTTTAAAAAACGGCATGTTTCAACTTTTAATTATCAAAATCGACCCAGTTTCCGCCTTAGGGCTGAAACTGGTTCAGTTTTGGTAATTAAAATTGAAACATGTCGTTTTTTGGGAATATTTTTGAAAAATGGTTGGTTTTGAAATTTTGTCCTTAATAAAAGCATATTCACATTGCTGCACTTTTACCCCTGATTAAAAAGGAGAACTAAAGGTAAAGCACTGCATTGGACACTCCTTTAAAAAATAAAAAGACGAGTCACACATCAGAAAGTGAAACTTACTTTTGTACTTTCTAATCATCTTTCTCTAGTAGATGAGATGCCATTTTACTTTTTCAGCAAAAATTTGCCAATCTTCAAGATGTCGCCATGAAAATGCCGGAAAAAATTACGCGAAGACAAAACGACTGACTGGAATAAAATGTAAGGAAAAAATAGTACCAGCCAAATGCAGGCCCACAGGCCGAGATAAGCTGGTCAGCCCAGTCACATGTAGGCACAGCCTACTCGCTGAGCCTAGTGGATCACGCAAATTGTTGGGTTGCACTTGGCTTGGGCAGACCTAGCTTGGTCCAGCAACCCGCTGTTGTGGCCCGTCTGGCATGAGCCTGGCCAAGCTGGGCTCAAGAGTAGGCCACGCGATCCAGTACCCACCTGTCCCACCCTTATTTACATCTTCTTTTTTACATACAACATTAGTTTTACCCCCATTTATTTTACATCCACCCACTTGGACGGTTGGATTTTTTTAATCTGTAAACCCAAAGCTGTACTTTCTTTAATTTCTAAACCCACCTTCCAAGTTCTAATAGAGGTATCCTTATTGTAAACCCAAAGTTTTAACGTAATTTATGTTTGAACCCAGCTTTTTCCATAAAGTATTTCCAATAAACCCAAAATTTTATCTCTATTTCTATTCAAACCCGCTCATTACTGTAAAGAGTTTTCCAGCCTTGAACCTAAAGTTTTATCCCCATTGATTTTTAAACCCGCACGTTTATGAAATCACTCTTAGCCTTAAAAACACTCCGAAAAAGTTAATTTTAAACCCATTTTGTATTTCTACGGTTTGATATACGGTTTTTTCAACCAAGCACAGTTTGGTATATATTTTAAGTTGCTATATTATTGTAACTTGCTATTTGTTTGTTCTAAGTGATTATACATGTGATGTATTTGTAAACTAAATGCTTAAACTATCATTTTCTTGGCTTTCTTTACACATTAATGTCACGTCATCGCAAACTTTAGATGGAATTTTTTGCCAATAAACTTAAAATTTTACCTCCATTTATTTAATTTTAAACTCACCTACTCCCAAAAAAAGCTGTTTGCCTATAATGCAAAGTTTTATCCACCATTTATTTTTAAACCCACTCACTTCCATAATCACTCCTAGACATAAAAATAAATCAAATTAATTTTAGACTATTTTGATGGAATGCAATGTATGTTGCTCTACGTTCTTTTCAAGCGGTTGAGTATACAGTGTGTTTCCAAATCAAGTTCTTAAATCCTTTTTTATGGTGATTTTTTTTTTCTCCAAGTTTGTTTGAATGGCTAAAATTTTCTTGTTTATGGCCGGCCCAAATAAATATTTAGCCGAATTTGATTACATCAGTCGAGCCCAAAGAAATAGACTTAAATTCGATTGCGTGGAATGTAGAACTTTGAAACGAAGGAAAGACCATGAGAGATTAGGATAATTGTCCAACAGTCCATTTTCGAACAATTGAGACTAAGACAAGACGAGGATTTTCATGTTGGATTCTTGGATTAAAAATTCTCTCTTTTTTTTTCGGTTTTTTTAACATACTTGTACTGTTAACGTTGATGAATAGTATCATATTGAGGGAATATGAATAGTGATAACTGTACACAAGAGTTATATTACTCTTGTACTCTAAAAAATAAATGTGAAATCCTTCTCTACAGTGTGAATTGATGTTGACAAACTGTATAATAAACATATGTGGTGATGTTGAAGGATTCAATAGGGTTTCCTTTGTGCCCATCAATGGTGACAAACAAATTTCACAGTGATAAATATGGCATGTTTTTTTTTTTTTTTTTACTTGTTTGATTTGTCAAGGACTATCTGTTATCATATACTACCTCTTCTTTCATGGTGGCAGGCATTTTAGTTAGAGAATTTGGGACAAACAATTAAAAAAAAATCATTAAATGACTGTAATATTATTATAAAATATGGGGAACTGTCTGTCATTTTCTATGTCAAATTAACAACTAACTTATATCGTCACGCCATCGAGAAAGTTAATGCTGTATTATATGTCATTATCCCCTAAAGATGTCACTCTATTTCTTTTATGCTTCAGCCATCTATGTTAAGGTTTGAGTTTTGATTTCAAATGTGAAGGGAAATCAATCGATCAAATTTACGAAACTAATCTAAAACGAAGTAAAATAACATTCATATTCACAAGTTTAAAAGCTGAAAGGAAACCTAAAAAACAAATCAAGAAAAGCGCGCGCGAGACAATTGACACTCTTGTGGTTCTTGTCCCTCTGCAAGCTCCGTATGACGCCGGCTAGGCTAGATAAAGAGAAGATCCAAGCACTCGTTAATCATTCTTCGCCATTTGTCTCGGCTCGATTCGCTCTTTTCTTCTTGTTTCCTTCTCCAAAGCCCTAACCCTCTCCCCTCTAATTCTCCCCACATTGAAAATTATCACATATTTCTCAAGCGAATATCCTCAATCTCCTGAGAGCTCGCAAGGAAGGGGGGGTAAACAGAACCATGGCATCCCTGGAGGAGCTTCTATCGAGAGAAGGGTTCAAGAGAGGGAAATCAAAGCAGAGCTCCTACGGCTCACCTGCGTCGAAAGATTCAAGGTTGCCACCCTATTCTACTCGCAACCGAATCAGTTCTGTGGACCAAAGAGCTAGAAGAGACAGATCAAAATCAGATGCGTTTTCTCGTCGATCATGGTCTTCAGAGGGTGGGAGAAGTCAAGGTCAAGATTTGAGGAGAAGCATTTTGCAGAGAAAGAGCTCAGCTGGCGTGTATAGGAGAGAGTCACCAAAAATCAGAGGTTTCGATATTGAAAGTTACAGCGAAGAGGAGTCTAATGAGAAATATCAAGTTCAATACCCGGATAGTTTCGAGGAGTCAGATGAAGATGATCTACCGAAAGAGCAAGGGAATTTGCATACTGAAAGATTTCAACAGAACGACAACGAGTTTCCTGAAGCTGAGAAACTCGAGAGAAGTACTGATACCGTTAAAGACGACGCACGAGTTTCTGACCTGAAACTGGATGAAATTGGGGCGAAAGCAATAATTTCGATCCTGACAGGATATTTAAGGCGGTTTTTTAAGGATGAGAATTTCCGGGCATCCCTGTATCAGAGCTGTGCTTCCTGTTTAGGTATAAATGAATCGTATGAGAATGATCAAAGTGAAGATGGAGTAATTGATAATCTCAACCAAGCAATCAGAGTAGTAGAGAGAACAGCTGTGGGGAGTCCAAGTTCCCAGGAACTGAAGAGGGCAGCATTGCAGCTAAGTGTTATTACAGGATTGAGCTCAGGGGAATTAAAGGATGGTTTTAGTTCTGGGATCCCAAACTTGGAGCTGGCTGCCTGTGCACATATCTACCTTAGCATAATATATAAGTTTCAGAAGAAGGATAAGGTCTCAGCCAAGCATCTCCTTCATGTTTTCTGTGATTCCCCAAATCAAGCTCGTACTAAATTGTTGCCTGTGTTGTGGGATCGTTTAATCTTCGCTCATCTTTCACATTTAAGGGAATGGTATGACAGCGAAGCAGAGGTGATAGCAAGATCACCGAGTGGACTAAAAAAGATGAAACTTTTGGAGGAAATGTACAGCAATGTTTTGGATGTGGGTACTTACAGGTTTGGGGTTTATTACAAGGAATGGCTTGACGATGAGGCTGAAGATCCTGAACTGCCATCAATTGTTGCTCCCCAGGGTTCTTTTATGTGGATGCCGAGAGAAACTTCAGGTTCATTTGATTCAGATGAATTTTCAAGTCCAGGTAGCTCTGCGTCTTCTCAAGCAAAGGTTAGCAAAAAGTTATATGAATCTGTTTTCAGACAGTCAAAGAAGAAATTCAAAGAAGTTGATCAAATGGGTGTCTGGAAGGATAAGGAGAATGAAGAGGTCGCCGTGGTTGTAGAGGAGATTGATGACGATGAAAATAATAAACCTATGTTTGGCTCTGAGAGGCAAGGAGATAAAATAACTGGAGCTTACTACCTCAATATGGGAAGAGAGAATTTCCAGGAAGATTACCGCGATAGCCCTACAGATGATATTCAGAGTTATCATGTAAGTTGTCTTTTACATTCTCTAAGGTTTTCATGTTGGGCTCCTAATTTGATCATATTTCTGTTTCTTGTTTTAGGATATACAAAAGGCATATGGAAGATAGTTGTTTTCGAGCTAATCATGGTAGTAGAGAATCTCATGAAGTCAAGATTGTACAACATATTGCCTGCATATTTTATCTAGACATTTATGATACTATTAACGTTTCTATCCCCCTCTTCATCCATAATTTTCCTAGTCTTCACATCGTTGTTCTTCTAAAGCTGTGTAGCCACTGTCTCCTCATAAATCAATAAATTTTACAACAGGCCCCCCCTCAGCCAATAGTTGCCTCCGCCAGATATTTGGCTCTGATTCATAAAAAAGCCTAATCTCAAATTGAATGTTTATCGTAATCCTTGAGCAGAGTCTTCTAACCTTAGAACTTTGCTCTATGGTTAATCCTGTTCAGATGTGTTAGAAGCTTGATTGATGGTAATAGTTGCTACATTTCCTTCTCTCTCTCTCTCTCTCTCTCTCTCTCTCTCTCTCTCTCTCTCTCTCTCAAATAATAATAATAAGAAAAATAGCAGTAAAAAAGTTGCTACATTCCAAAACCTTCAATCAAGATAAGCCAAATGATGTATATGATACTGAACTATTCAAGCTTCAAAGTGTTGCATTTTCGCAGTATTGTTCCAGTAATCCAAAAATAAATTGGTCCAAAAACATGAGCATCTTATGATATATATTGTACTCAGACTATGCATGCAGATAAATGGAGAACAAGCGGATGTAAGAGCTCAAGCAAACTTAACCTTATGGTGAAAGAAAAGGTCAAAAGTGAAAATTTTCAATCCTCAGCTTCCAACATGTTCCAAGTGCAAAAAGAAAATGAGCTTACTTTGAAAAGACTAGCAGAAGATGCATTTCAGCCACAGGTGGATGATCATCATAAAAATTCACAAGAGCCTGAATTAAACAATGTAAAAGTTCTCAAACCTTTTTATATACAAGAAGGCAGGAGGTGTATTTGCTTTTGAAGTTGTATTGACTTTTTGGTTGCAGATGAATGACACAAAGTTTCTGAAATCTGAGATCAGAAAAACTGGGACAGTTTCCAGAAACTCTGATTTGAACTCGTCTTTGTTAAGTCCTGGGTATGAATAACCTGAACTTTTGCTGTATGCCATATGTGAATCTTCAATAAAAAGATTTGTGAACTTTGTTTCTGCTTTCTGTTTCTCAGTACATCTACATTTGGAGGCTTTGAAGACATGGACCAAGACTCTTTCTTCTCTAGAATCCCGAAAGATTTTGTTTGCCCCATAACAGGCCAGTTGTTTCAAGACCCTGTAACTCTAGAGAGCGGACAGACCTATGAACGAGCGGCTATCAAAGAGTGGTTTGACCAAGGCAACAAGACATGTCCAGTTACAAATAGGACATTGGAATTTGCGGGTTTGCCAGTAACGAATTTTGTACTAAAACGTGTAATTGATGGGTGGAGATCTGAAAACTGTAGAAACCTTCTGTTTCTTGCCACTCAAATAGCGGGGAATATAACAACACAAGAAACCAAGTCAAAAGATGAATCAGCATTGTTCATTATTGAACAGCTTCTTACCGGTTTCAGCATAGAGGAACAGACAGAAAATGCCAGATATCTTATTTCTCTTGGAGGACTGCAGTTTCTTATTAGGAGGCTAGAACTGGGGGATTTGGAAGAAAAAATACGCATATCTGCTCTCTTGTTATGCTGTATCAAGGCAAATGACTTCTGCAGGAACTACTTGGCGAAAAATATCAGAACATCTAGTGTCCTTGAGCTCTTACACTGTAAGCAATTTAGTGCAAGAAGTAATGCAGTTGCATTGCTTATTGAACTAATTTGTCTAAATAGGTCAGTTTGCATTCTTAATTGTTTGACATTTATAACATAAACTTTTTCAAAATAACTTTTATTTGGATGCTGCAGAAGGGCAGCCATCAATTCATTTATTAGTGGCTTGCGTACGGAGGATATCTTAAACACAATGCAAGTACTTCTTCTGTATCTTCAGGGTGCGCGCCCTGAAGAAAGAGTCATCATTGCTGTTCTCCTCTTATATTTTGATCTAATGGTGTGTTTCAATATCTGATACTTCAATGATTTATTTATATTTTCATGCTGTGTTACATTGACCATTTCAACTCTTAGGGATTTATCAAGTTCTTTTCATAATTAAATTGTGTTACGACAATATCTGCTGGATGAAATTATTGAGAGACAAGATAAAGACATTATTTACCAAGTCTAAGATCCATATTTATTGTTTTCTGAATTTTACTAGTCACAAAGTTTTAGAACACCATTTTAGATTTTGAGAAGTAATTCCCAGTATCGTCATGTGTTTGGATGTCTTATGAGTGTATATCTCTAAATTGAGAAATTTGTGACAACCTATGGAACTTGCGACAGAAAATATGTCCAATTACTTAAGTGCAAAGATAAATTTATAATTCAAACAACTTGTTTAAGAGTATATGCGATGAATATGGAGGCTATATTATTCATTATTTTGTCAACATACTAAAACCATTTGTCTGCTGACCCTATGACCGCAGATGCAGATAAAAGTTTATACATTTTATACAAATAGCTGATCAATTTTGAAATTTTCAGAATTATAACAATAACTATTGCAGGTAGAACCACGACAGTATGGCATATACAGAGAAGAAGCTGTGGACAGCATTGTACTGGCTCTTGATCTCTGTTTATCTGATACGAAATATATACCTAATTGTCGGAAAGCACTTCTCATGTTGGGGGGTTATTTCTCCTTTTCTGGTGAAACACTGACAGAAACTTGGTTGCTTAAGCAAGCAGGATTCTGTGATGATTTTGGGACAACATCTATCAGTTACGATGAGGATGTTGATGAAATTATACTGGAGGTATGGAAAGTTTTGGAAGTAGTTCTTTTTTCCCTTTCTTCCACAAAAATATCCTTTTGGCAATTGAAAAGGTTGCATTCACTATTTTCAGGAAGAAAATGAAGAGGAGTCGAGGGAGAAAGAAGAGTGGTTGAAAAATGTAGCTTTAGTCCTACTATGTAGCGGAAAGGGATCATTTCTAGAGACCCTATCCAAGTGTTTAGATTCACAAAACACAGAGCTGTTAAAAGTGTGCCTAACAACAATTGCTTGGATGAGCCATGCACTTGCGTCTCTCTCCCTTTCTGATTTGCAGCTCTCCGTATTTTTGTCTCTTATTCCCAGGATGAAAGAAATCTTGGAGAAAAGTGAGCAGATTGAACATCGTATTTTGGCATCTTTATCGTTGCTCAATTTCAGTAAAATTTCAGGTAATTTGGTCTTAATGTGAAAATTAAATTTGGAACTTAAATGATGATATATCTAAGAGATAAATGTCTTGTTTCTTGTTATAACTGCTGGGTGCAGAATGTAGAATCCTACTCGTGTCTTTTGCTGAGGAGATCCACAATCCTCTAAAACATCTAGTGGAGATGACTTCGATAGCAAAGCATTTATATGCTACTGTATTTGGATAACACCAGAACCTGATAGAAAAGATAGCCCTTATTATTTCTGTGAATGTAGAGTTGTTTCCCAAGATTTCTGTCTTTTTTTTTGTTTAGTTCAGCAATTCTCCTTTCAATTTGATCTTTAGCTCTTTCAATGTGAATATGTACAAGGTAGCAGTCAGTTATCATTGTATTGGAACAAAGAAATTCAATGATTATGTTTAGAAGAGGCCTATCTGGTATATTTATTCAGAGGAGAGGAAAGGATCAAGATAGCCTTGGTTAACTATGGTTTTTCATGATATTTAGTTGCGTTTTACATGTTTACTTTTTTGAAATTGTCCAAAATTTGAATTTATGCTTAGTTCAGCTTCCACTCCAATTATGGCTATAACTATAAGATGTGTTTTGTTAGATCCAAATAGTAATTAAATTATTTACCAATGTCATTGAGTTTTTGTCTAGCCATCATATGTTTAGAGGTCTAGGTAATGACCTCACTCCGGAGAAATATCGATATGTTAGTTTCCAACTCGAGCAAGAAATGTTGCAAGACAAAACATTCTAGCAAGAAAGCAAGAAAAACACAGACAGAAGTGGTAAGTCTATTTTGGAGAGAAATACACTTTCCCTCTAACCGGATTCCGCGCGTCTCCGCTCCCCGCAAGCGCATCCTCTCTCCTCCCATCCCGCGGCCAAACTCGCCCAACGTTTCAGGTGCTTATAAGTTACAAATTTCTGACTCTCTTGTTTGTTGTTTTCCATTATAAATTTTAATTCTATTTCGTATAAAGAATCTTAACGATGTTATCTCCGGAGAGGATTGGTTTGGGCCGGAGATGTTATCAATAGATGGGCAGGTAGGTCTGCACTAGCCAAATTATCAACTCCATTGAATGGTTGTAAAAAAAAAATGATGCCGTACAACTATGTTTAAAGAGATGAATTTGTACGCGCTGCATAGTTGAATTTCGCCGGCATTTCAAGGGAACCATCGTCCATGGTGATCTGTGGTCTGTAAGCGGGATGAGGATGTCACGGGGACGTTTGAGTATGCACCGAGACATGAAGGGATGCTGTATTTGTAGGGGACGGTTAGAGGGTTGCTCTTATTGCAGATAGAATGAGAGACCTCGAGATAATCGCGATAACGTGCATGGAGGTTCACTAAATGCGGGCCAGTTAGCGGGAAGGTTGTAAGTTTATAGTTACCGATGGGCAATGAAGACTAGAGGCGGGTCGCAACTGAACTTGGTGGTGCAGAATAGCAGAAGGATATGATGATTATTATAAATTTTTAATCCCGCTGGGGTTGTTATCTACCTAGGATTGTCAAAACATGCCTTAATTTAAGGGCGGGAGAACACCCGCTTTATGGAATAAATGGAAGAGATACTGTTCTTGTAGGAGCCATCGATATTCGGAGTTAAGGGCTTTGCTTGTTATCCGTAGTGTCATGATGTCTGTCACATCCGCAGTTAGTTTCCTTAAGAATGGCCTAGATCTGAGGAGACGCTCTTACTCTATGATTAGTAGTAGTAGTGGGCATGTTTATCTGCTCAGTCATCTTCTGTCGCATTTCATGTGAGCTGTTCAATAGAAATGCAGCTTACTTCTTTTGGTGTTCTTATTTTTCCACTTGCCGTATCCTTTTTTATAAGGATTCTTTGAGCCTGTGAATGTTTTTTTTTTGGTTTTTTTTGTTTAAAATTTTTTTAAGGGAATTTTTTTTTTTTTTTTTTTTATTTTTTTAAAATTTTAACTTTTTTTTTTTTTCTTAGTTACTGATTCCTTTACTTAGTATTTTCGAGACTATTGCTTGCATATTCTTTGAGTTAATATCCTTCGCAAAAAATCTCTATAGGAAACCTGCTTTGCGTTACGCAACTCTAAGAAAATTTAGTATGTTTTCAATTACATGCATTGAGGCAGGTCATCTTTTCCCTTCTGACACACTCCACAGCACCCACACATACACACAAAAGACATAGAACAAATCTTTAACGCGAACTTTCAGATGAGGAACAAACAAACAAGCAAGCAGCAGGCAAGTAAATAAAATAAAGGTAATCAGAAGTCAAATTTCACTTCTACCTAGCATAGTATGTTGTTAGTTCAGTATCGAGATATAGTGCCATTAACTCGTCAGATCTGCATCCTTTTCATTCTCAGACATATATCGAATTTTCTGGTTGTTGAGCAGTCTTGAATGCTGCTTTTACAAACGCACTAGCTGCTGCAATGACGGCTAGAGAGCGAGGTATATCCCAAGTGAGCGTGGCGTGAAAGTATCTGCTATCAGAGAAAACCTGCATATCCATCCATCAAATCCAATAAGTTATCTCGAATTTCGACGGAAACAAGTTGGAGCTGACGGCAGACAATCGACGAGCTAGCCAGTGTTTGTCCGAAACCAGCGTATGGCAAAACAGAACAGTACTGGCTGGGAGTTGTTTGTCTTCCTTCTTTCTGAGTTTGGGGCGTGCTTGAGTCATATCCATTGATGTGGAATGTGAGTAGAGCTAAATGTGTATGACAGATTCATGATGAGAGGAGAAACATGTGGCATGAGAGATCCTGGGTCATGGCGTTCGGCAAATAATGTGTTGAGAGACTGCAGCACTCTTGTCCGGTATGCACAGGATGGCGTAGACTTATTAGTCAGTACCGTGCAGACATCATCCGTTAGGACGAATGGAGCTTACTCTGTGTCTAATATCTGAGCTATGCTCGATGCTACGATGAAGTGCCGTTTTGTGCTTGGCAACATTCTGGCTCGACGTGCATGTCGGAGACGTACATAGGCGGAGTCGGCACGGTATAGCACTCGGTGTCAGGACGGAGTGAGGGATACAGAGTATAGGGGGCGGGATAGGACGTGCTTTACATATGAGTCTACTGACACGAACTCCATGACATTGTAATAATTTAATTACTATTTGGATCTCAACAAAACACGATCTTATAGTGATGAGCGAGCGCGCGAATGAATGGAGAGTCGCGGAGCTATGCGGTGAGAAGACTAAGGCAATCAATTCCAAATTGGTATGGAGCAATTTCAAAAAGTTAAACATGTAAAACGCACGTGAAGTATCGTATGCAAAAGCGGATAGTTAACGCAAGGCTTATTGATCCTTGTCCATGCTCGCTCTGAAATAAATAGTACTCAGGTAGGCCTCTTCTCGGAGGAGACATAAGTGCGAGTTGAAGTTTCTTGTTCAATACTTCAGTAGACGTGATGCGTACGGGCCGCGGGAGGCGGCGCGGAGAGGCGTAGTCAGCACATCCACATTGAAGGATGAGCTAGTTTGAAGATGCATATTCGAGCTATGGAGGAGATGTGTGCTGGAAGACGGGCTAAGTCGAGGAAAAAAAGAACAAGAAAATTGACACGGCAATCGTTAATCAGGCGCGATTTTCCCATAAGAATGGAAGTATTTTTGAGTTAGAAATTTGGGTCGGGTTGCGAGATATGGTTATAAATCGCCGTCCCAATGAGAACTATTATACTAGCCGAAATAATCATATTCGGAAATAATATTCTTCGTGTTATCATAGGGTCGTCTGGTGTATCCAAATACAGTAGCATATAATGCTTTGCTATCGGACTAATCTCCACTAGAGGTTTTAGAGGCGATATGCCTCGCAGTAATTCTCCATCCGAGTACAAAGACCGAGTAGCGATTCATGACCATGATCTGGCACGCAACACAGTCAGTCCGGTTATAAAAGAACAATACGAACATATTATCCTGCTAGATATAAACTCATCCATTGTTTATTCTCCAAATCTTTAATTTCTCCCACATCAACACCAGAATACCGACTGAAGATTTTAAACTGAAATTGAGCAAACGATAAACGATGCCAAATACGATGTTCATTGCTCATTTCTCTCAGGATTCTTTCAATCCCTGGAATCGAGACAAAAAATACGAGATGCTGCAAATAGAAGGGGAGAGAGACGCAGTGCATGGCTCATCAAGCAATTGTCTTGTTAAGCCATTTTTAACAGCATCTGCTGTTTTGTGCAATCTAAAGACTTGGTATAGGGTCTCTAGAATGATCCTTTCCGCTACATAGTAGGAGTAAAGCTACATTTTTTCAACACTCTTCTTTCTCCGCTCGCTCCTGCTCATTTTCTTCCTGAAATAGTGAAATGCACTTTTCATTGCAAAAGATATTCTTGTGAAGAAAGGGAAAAAAGACTACTCAAAACTTTCATACCTCCAAGTATAATTTCATCAACGGTATGTCTCATTGCCATGTTTTCACACTGAATAGATGTTGTCCCATAAATCATAAAAAAACAACCAATGATATCCGTCGCTTTCCTCTTAGCAAACGGCGGCATGTTACATGCGTCAAGTTGTTCAGGCCGAAAAACGGAGAAGATTCAGACGCGCATCAACAATGACGAACCGCTGCGTTCAACATATTGTCAGCCGTATCATATTCTTCACGTAATCAGATAAACAGAGATCAACGGTAGCAGGTACAAATGCTGTCAACTACAGATGTCGTCTCTGTGCTATGCCATAACTGGGACACAGATGCGATGTTTAGACCTGACATTAGTTATTGAGCTTATACACTGATGTCTGAACATATTTGTGACAAAGATTGATCAGGCTATATTGTACTAAACATCGATATAAACTTTTATCTGCATGGCTATTGCCAGGTCCATAGTGTCACAGACAATATTGGTAATTTACTATGTTGACATAATGAACGCACTAACACGTATACAGGGCCTCGACATCCTTCATACAAACTGCTTGATATAGCTAATAACAGACACGTATGTTTGACATTGAATAACAGTCTATCATCTTGCACTGTCAAGTTATAGGAACATATTTTCTGTCGCACAGTATCCCCCTATGGTTTGTATACATAAAATTTCTCATTGTAGAGTATACCTCCATAAGACTCCAACCAAATGACGATACTGGGATTACTTCCAAAATCTAAAGATAGGTAGTTACATAAACTCAACTTTCGTTGACTAGTAAATCAAAAACAATAAATATGGATCTTAGACTTGTAAATAGATGTTCTTTATCTTGTCTCTCAATATCACCAGAGATATTGTGTAACACAATTTAATTACTGAAAAGAACTTGATAAATCTAAGAGTGAAATGGAATCAAGTGATAAAGTCAGAGGGAACTATAACCGAAAAGTATAAATAGAGGATCATGAAGTATCACGTATGT